ACTGCTTCCTGCTACCATCCTGGCTTGCTGTAGACCCCAGGCTCCATTGCTTTGACTGCTTGAAACATGCCCCCAAGTTTTAACTCAGACGCCCACTCTCCACACTGACTTCAGAGCCCTCTGCAGGGACAACCAAACCTCTAAGCCCTTTGGGAAGGCATGCCACAATACAGACCCTGGTTAACACTGCCTCCCATCAGATGAGAAGTCTGTAAAACCAAAGACCAAGACTATCCACGGCTTTGCCTCTGGCCCCTTGCCACGACACTGGCGCACTGGCACCCAACAAAATGCCAATGTGCCCTTCAAAAGAACATTTGGGGAAGTAGGTCAAAACAGGGAAACAAGGGTCTCACAGAGAAGCCCATGTGACAGAAAGGAATTATAGCAGCAGCAGCTTGCGCCCAGCATTCCTAGTGGAAGCCCAGCATGGTACAGATTTTGTGTTTTATGGCTTTGGAAGATATTCTGTAACTGTGATGCCACAAATGCAACTGGTTTCAGGTAATGGACAAACAAGCTCGGGCTTCTGACCAAAGCCTGTGTACTGATTATGTCATCTGCGGACGTGTTGGAAGGTGTGATGGGAGTACTGAGTGTGAATGGGTACTGAATATGGTAGGGGTACTGAGTATGGCTCCTGGGGAGGGAAGCCTGACCCTCTGGCCCCACCTGGAAGGACCTTGACACATAGATTTTCCCCACACTGCAGCCCCAGTGGCTGGGTACAGGTGCCTTGCTCTCTCAGCCCTCTAGCCTGTCCCATCCATAGGGGTAGGCCTGGGGTCATGTGACTACTCTTTGAACACCCTGCCTGGGGTGACTTTCACCTGTGGCTGGCTAGCTGGCTGCCTCAGGGGAGACCTGACTTCCTCATTCACTCTTTTCCCTAGAACGTTGCATTGGAGTGTGTTTGTTGAAGGGTAATTGGGCACGGTAAATACTTTATCTCTAGGAAGATTCAGTGGTGATGTGGAGGAAAGCTGGTCCTGGTTTACCTGTGACCCAAGTCTGAATTTCCTGTCTCGTTGGCAGAGAGGAGAAACCTCCCTCCTCCATTGCACAGAGCCATCATCAATGACTACATGGGGGGGGGGGTGTGTGTCAGGAGATTCCTGCAACCACTAAGTCTTCTCCTGGGGAGGTCACTTATCACAAGGAGGTCACACCCAGCCTTCATTGCAGAGCGTGAAGCCCTGAGGCCATCCATGGCCTCTCTAGCCTTAGGTCTTAGGCTCTCACTGACCAGGTCCTCATCAGAGATAAAGTGACCGAACTTGGGCCCCGTGTGCCCCAGTGTGCATGGTGTGCATGGCCCTGAAGAACCTCGCAGGTGGCTCTAGGGTGTGGAAGGAGGTATGGAGAGGGGCAGGTACTCCACAAAACACCACAACCCAGCCCTCTTACGGCTGGGGAGGGGGGACTGCCCAGGGCACTTGGAGACAGATTCCTGATTTCCCTGGGTGAGGGCCCTTTCCCTAAAAGGGCTGGGGCTGACACGGAGATCAGTGGTCTATCTTCTTACTAAGATTTAGAAAGCTCACCGTTGTTTTTCAGAGTGCCTTGTGAATGTGTGCAGGATATCGAATGCAAAACCAACTTGTCAGGTGACTGGTCTATGAGGTCCAAACAGTGGTTCCCAACCTGTGAGTTGTGACCTCCCAGGGGTCTCATATTAGATATTTATATTACGATTCATAACAGTAGCAAAATTACAGTTACAAAGTATCAGCGAAATAATTTTATGGTTGAGGGGCACCACAGCGTGAGGAAACTGTATTAAAGGGTTGCAGCATTAGGAAGGTTGAGAACCACTGTGTTGGGGAGATCTTGAATGGGAATAATGGCCTCAGACCTCTGTGGGAAACAAAGGCTGCATAGAGTGGGTGCACTCTGAGGATATCAGCAGCCTGGCTTTAGACCCCTGAAGGTCTGCAGTCTGCAGGAGGATGACAGGGCTGGGCATGGCTCCTGGCCTCTGCAGACCATGATCTGCTCTTCTCTATGTCCTGCTACTGTCTGAGATCAAGTGGTTCTGATCTCAGCCACCAACCCTGCTACAAGGAAAGGACCGGTGTGTAACCCTGTCCCTAGTGAATATAGGGACTACCTGTGAGCCTGAGGTGGCAGGAGAATGTGTGGGCTCCAAGCTTCACCTGAGCAGCAGTGGTGAGGTCGCTCCTACAGCACAAAAGTGGAAGACTGGAGATTTGGGATGACAGCATACCCACCATTGATTTTTGGCATCTGGGTGTAGTGGCTGTCAGTGTGGGCTATGAGGGATAAAAGTGAATGTTCAAGGACAGGGGTCTCCTCTCAGCTACCGGTCTTCTTGCCTCTCAAATATCTGCCCAGGAGTAAATTTGACACTTGAAATGGAGGGTGGGGGAAAGACAGAACAAAGAGGCCAGTTGGAGGGATACCTGAGACCATTGGTGTGCTGATGAAGCAAGCCCTGTGTGCTCAACCTCTCCTCCTCTGCACTGAGAGAGGTACATGCAGGCACATGCAGACAGATGGACAGGCGCGCGCGCGCACGCACACACACACACACACACACACACACACACACACACACACACACACACACACACGCACAGTGGGCTTGGGCTTTGTTCTTCACTTACAAGTGTGAAGAAACAGAGGAACTTGGTTACAAATTCCTCCAATCCTTGCTGCCTTGATGGAGTCTTTGTCTTGCTCCTCAGCCCTGGGCCAAATTGCTCCACACAGATCCTGTTGGCTCTCCACACTTCCTAGTCTGGGCTGTCCTGCAGAACAACTTTTCCAGGGCTGTTTGGAAGGAACACTTGCCGTAGAAGGAGATCTCAAGATTAGCACACAGGCGTTTCAATCCACTTGTTCCTTCTGCCAGAACTCAGGGATGGTTGTTTCCTGCCTTTGACATTGGCTCTATTTTGCATCTCCCTGTGAACTGTGAGCATGGGTGACTTCAGCTCCCTAGACACAGTTGGGCACAGTGACTAACACACAATAGGTGCTCAATGAAGAGGGGGAAATGAGTCCAGAAACTCTCACAACCTAAAAGAACTGTAGGTCAGGAAAGTTGGCAACATTTGAAGACAGGCTGAGCACAGGTGAGGACTGCAGAGGGAGAAATGGCTGGTTCCAGGAGCCAGGGGTCCACCCTGCCTTCTGAGCCCTGCACTCACTCTGTTTCCCAAAGCAGACTTGCAAGGTCTACTTGGGAAGTTCAGTGGCTAATTGGGCCACAGAGACATTCTGGTCAATGCCAACTACAAACTAAACTTACCCAGGGTAAGGTACCATCTGACTTACTTGACTGAGCCCATAGTGTTTTTAGGTCAGGACTCCAACCCCCACCTCCACACACAGGTACAGACACAGGCTATCTATCCAGAGTTGGTGTGAGAAACTATCCCCACTTCATAACAGAAGCCCTGACACTCTGAGTAGTAAAAGCCAGGTAGATTTATTTTTTGGTTTTGCAGAATTCAGGACAAGAAGCAAAAATGCCTGGTGTGCCAATTCGATATAAAACCATCTTTTAAAAGCACATTTCCCTGCCCCCTGAATGGCCAAATTCTCCAGGGAGGTACAATCTTTCCTTCTTGTCCAGTGCAGCCCCGACCCCAAATCCACCATCCTCCTGGGACTTGGAATTCCTTTCTCTTTTCTTCTAGGTAGGGTGAGTCACACAGCAGATTCTAACCCTAAGATACACTAAAAAACTGGAACTGGCTCAGGAAGACAGGTCCCTAGTTCTTTAGGCTTATCCACAACTCTTTATTTTAAGCCCTGATAATGGGCCATGAACTTTACAACTGTTTGAGAGCACTTGGGGGTGTGTCTCATCTGGGGGCTCTGACATCACCATGGGGAAGCTGCCCACCCTCAGCGGCTGACACCCTGAGGTGAAGGCCAGCCCCTCCCACAACCCCAGCTGTGAGCCCAGAGCTCTGACCTCCCTTGTGAGTCACAATCCTGCCCTCTCTCACTACTCTACATCAGCCTGCTTTCTTCCTCAGGCTAGTGGGTGCCTGTCTCCCTGCCCTTACCAGGCTATCTTAGCCTCGGAACCCTGCAAGGCAGTACCACCGAAGAGGGACAGATCAAAAGGGATGGGCAGGTATGGTCGGGTGTGCATTCCTTTACCTTGGAGAAGGCTGTTGATGACTCAGTCTTGCTGGCCACCCAAAAGCAGCCCCTAAACCACAGGTTCAGACTGGGAGGAGGGGTCTGGCTTGGTTTTGTGGCAGGCCTCTTCCATACCTAAGGTACAGAATTCAGGGAACACATGCTAGGTGAGCAGTCCCGATCTGCACAGCTGTCTATCAGGGTCCATCTGGGCTCTGGGGTGGGCTTGGGGCTTCCTTTTAGAACAAGGTACATAGCCCAACCAAAAGGCATTTCCCATTCATGTGCTCTGAGGGGATGACCCAGGGGACCTACAGGAAGGAGTACAGTTCAGAGCAAGGCCCAGGCAGCACAGACTGACAATGTGTGTTCATGTGTGCATAGGTGCACTGGCATGTGGAAGCCAGGGGACAACTTCAGGTGTCATCCTCAGGCATGCTGTCTACCTCTTGTGAGACAGGCTCTTGTTGTGCCCAGACTCTGAATCCCCAAAACCACCAAGAGACCATATCTGATGCAAAAGCAGAGTCTCTTTAATTTCTGAATTAACTCACTGCACTGTTGGCAATTCTCTGGACACTGGAGTTACTATCAAAGGCACACAAAATGTGGTATTTCTATCTGCAGGTAATGAGGGGAAAATTGCAGAGGAACTGATGGATGAGAGTCATAATCTCTTCCCAGATAAGGCGAACTTGAATTTGCCAAAGCTGGTGCATCAACTATCCACAGTTTTAACAGCCAACCTACTTCTAACTCAGGGATGGTGGGGCCACTTGGCACAGGCTCCATTTCTTGTGCTCCAATTGGTTTCTTTTAGGGAAGTACAAGTTTATGCATCTGCTGGTGTCCACTGGTAGTGACGCTTGTGTATCCACACAATGGAGAAAAACTTGAAGAATGTCCTAGTGGTTTCATGTGGATTCTTCCTCCTCTTCACAGCCTACGGAGGCTTGCAGAATCTGCAGGTGAGACTTACTCATCACATTACCCAGTTCACCCCTACATGCCCCGCCCCCCGTCCCTGGAGCAATTCTTGTTTATCAAATGAAGCCCTACAAGATTTAGTCTTGTTCCCCCAGAGTGACACCAGAGCTCCACAGCCCAGGTGTGTGTGTGTGTGTGTGTGTGTGTGTGTGTGTGTGTGAGAGAGAGAGAGAGAGAGAGAGAGAGAGAGAGAGAGAGAGAGAGAAAGAGAGAGGAGAGAGAGCCTAGAGCAAGAAGGAGGAGGGCTCAGGACACTTTGCTTTTGAGTGGTTAAAAAGAGATGAAGGAACTATTGTGGATTGTATGTGCTCTGGGCTTTGTGGTCGGGCAGAAATGTCCGTTTGTCAATCCTCACTTTGGCAAAATCGCCTGTGTGTTAAACAGTTATGGAATCCCTGTTTCTCCAGTCTGTGAGTCTGCATGGAAACTGAGCAGCTGCCTCGGAAAAGCTGGACTTGGGGGTCATGTGCTTCTAGGTCATGTTGGCCTGGACCCCTCGGGTCTGGGGAGGATTTGACAATTTTTCCTGTGGTAATTACAGTAAAAATAGAACATCTGTCTGTCGATTGGTCCATCTGACTGTCCGTCCATCCATCCAGCTTCCTTTCTCTTCCTTCCTTTCCTTTCTCTTTTCTCTCTTCCTTTCTGCTGTCCTTCCATTCTCTTTTCCCTTTCTTTTCTTTCTTTTAAGACATGATTTCATGTAGTGCTGGCAATGCCAGGCCTATGCTGATACTGGCTCTGCGGTTTCTGACGGCTCCTGTGTGTTTGGCTGAAGGTGGTGGATGCTTTGACTTTGGCGTCTCCGCGGTCTTGCATGGCCCTCTAGTGGAAAGCACCTCCAAGCCTTCCCTTGGCCTGATTGAATGTCGTTTACGTAATTAGGTCTACTGCATGCAATACACATGTACTTGTCTTTCTATGTCTGTTACATGGATGAGCTCATCTAGCACATGCCAGCCCAGGCACTTGAGTGTGGGCATTCATGTGAAAAAAGCCATTAGCTTCTAAAATTCTGGCTCTGCTTAGATATCGACACCTGTCTGTCTTCCTTTTCAGTGGTTGGCAGTCAAAAGAAACTGTCACTCACAAATGACCCTCCCTAGTTGACTGTGGTAATGTGGGTGATAGAGAAAACCCAACGTTGGCAAGAGCTGTCAGGGTTTCACTAGAATCGGGGAGCAGGCAAGCTCACCGCTGTGAGTGAAGTACATAGTACAAAACTGTTTCTAAAAGGGCCACACTGGATCATGCTTCTAGCTACTCAATAAACACCAAGTACCCAGGCAAGCCCACTTCAGAGGAAGGTGCTTGACCCCATCTTTTAGACAGATTGTAGGGATTTTAGGGACTGGCTAGAGCAAGCCACAGTGTCTGTTGGGTGCAGCTGAGCCATGTGTGGCCACTGGACATGGGGAAGGACAGATAGGATGATGCGGGGAGGGGATCTTTGTCACTCTCTTTCCACTCTTCCCCCTTCTCCTTGTCCCCTTCTGTCCTTGTTAACCATTCTTCCTCCTCCTTCTTCCCCTCCTCCTTTTCCTCCTGTTTCCTCCTCCTCCCTCTTCCTCCCTCCTTCTGCTCCTCCCCCTCTTCCTGGACTTCCTCTTCCCCTTCCTTTTCTTCCTCCATCTCCTCTTCCTCCCCTCCTACCCCATCCTCTCACTCAGTTTCTCTTACAAATGACAGAAAAGAAAGTCAGCTGGTTTCTTTGACCACAAAATCCAGTAGTGGTCCTTCAGCTGGCTGGGTCTGGGTAGGGATTTGACCTTTGGGTCAGTTCACATCAGTGTTCTGCCAGGTACTCCTGTGGGATAACAGCGAATCCTTGTGTAGTGTAGGGCTCTGGACAGTGGGCACTGGCTCTACTTTGAGCTGGTCTTCCCTGCTGGTCCTTCTTCACCGTGGACTCCTCCCACTTGAGCCTTGATGCTGGAAGCACAAGTCTTGTTGAAGGCCTTGCAGTGACTATTTCTGAGCCCTGGCTGCATCATCCCTGATAGTCTGAGCCTGAAGCTGTAACAAGGGCTGATATCTGGTGGCTCAGGGTTTGAGGGTGCCCTGAGCCTGGGACAGGTGCTCATACGGTTCTGTCCTCTGATGGCTGGTCTTTCTTCCACAGAGCAGCCTCTACAGTGAGAATGGAATGGGGGTGGTGACACTCAGCACCATCTACTGTACTATGATGGTGTCCTCGTTGCTCCTCCCACCTATCCTCATCAAGAGGTTTGGCTGCAAGTGGACTATGGTGGGCTCCATGTGCTGTTATACGATCTTCTCCCTGGCCAACTTCTATGCCACCTGGTACAGTCTCTATAGTCAGTCCTCCCCAGTGTGTGTGCGTGCCCTGCAGACTCATGCAGGCCACTGTCCTCTGCTACTGAGTTAGAATGCCCCTCCATGAGATGTCTCTCCCACCCATGCACCCACATATCCTCATGGCTCTAATGGTTAGAGAGTCTGATGTAGATGATTCTCAGGGAGACTTAGCCAGCAAGGGACCAATATCCATCCATTCCCTGTACCCTCAGCTTTTGAGAGGGGATCCCTTTCTCCATCCTGCTGGGTGTCTATATGGATACACCCTGATCCTTTCCTCCATTCTTCTGGGTCTTTTTGCAGGTACACCCTGATCCCAACCTCTGTCCTGCTGGGCCTGGGTGCGGGTCCTCTGTGGTCGGCTCAGTGTACCTACATCACCATCATAGGAAATTTGCAAGCACAGAAAAAGGGAAAGCTTCCCAAGGATGTGGTGACCCAGTACTTTGGCATCTTCTTCCTAATATTCCAATCTTCTGGAGTATGGGGCAACCTGATTTCCTCACTGGTATTCAGCCACACAACCACTAAAGGTAAAGGCTGAGGGCTGAGTGGCCTTGGGAAATAGCCAGTTCTCCATGACAGCAAAGTGAGGTCCCAGTTCCACCTATACACTTGTCCTTACTGTGGAGGCAGGTGGTCCTGCCACTCTGAGGACAGTCAGAGGGCTAAGTAGCTGTCTTTTCCACAAGTACCCTGTGGAGGTTGGGGAGCCCCTTGGGAAAGGGTGTCATGAAGAAACAGGGTACTCCCAAACTCCTACTAGCATAATGTGGGTCCCTGGAGTTGCTGAGAATTTATGTGGATTATTTCCCTATAAAACTGACCCACAAGCCAGTGTTAACACCATCTGTTGGACCCCTTATCCTATGACTGGGTCATATGTTCCTACCCAGCAGGGACAGAGCCAGCAATCACTTTATGCCATGCCCAGGCTGGAGGGCTTTAACCTTCCAGCTTTCTGGATGTGACATTTATGGATTTGAATGGCTTCTGTGTCTCCATTTGGCCATGAGTCTGGCTTCTCCCAGGTCACATGCCAACAGGAAGCGCAGAAGTCACCCACCTTCATCCCTTCACAGGGACAGTGTGTCCCGGGCAGGAGAGACCTGCAGTGCAATGCAGGTGGTCTTGCTCACAATCTCTGCCACTCAGCCAAGATGCTGCAGAAACTGGTGTCGAACCCACAGTCTCTGTGTTATAGCAGGTGAAGGGCCATGGACTGCTCCTAGATACAGCCAGGCCACTACACGAATTCCGGAGTAATAAGACAACCCCCCACTGGCATGCCCAGAGACTGACCTATCCTAGATAATAGTCCCTCACACCTCACAGATGTGCCCAGAGGCTGTCTCCTATGTGACTCTAGATCCTAGCAAGCTGACAACACTATCACAATAGTTTCAACTTACGTGCGTGTGTGTGTGTGTGTGTGTGTGTGTGTGTGTGTGTGTGTGTGTGTGTGTCATGTTAGGCAGGTATTCACCATCAAACCAACCACCTCTCTCCATATATATTTATTTTTATTTTATGGGTTCGGGTGTTTTTTCCTGCATGTACGTCTATGTACCACATGCAAGCAGACGCCAGAGAGGGCATTAGATTCTCTGGAACTGGAGTTATATACAGTTGTGTGCCAGTGTTGGGTGCTGGGAACCAAACCTGGGTCCTCTACAAGAGCAGCCAGTGCTAACTGCTGGGCCATCTCTCCAGCCCTGAACTCACTGTTGTTGTTTTTAACAAACCAAAGAACTAGCGTTCATTTCCTGAAACAGAAAAGACAGAAAGTCACCTGCCTCAGTTGACCATGCTTTCATTGCTGTCATTGGCCTCAGGTATTCTACTTAGTCACTAGAATTCTTACCTCATCTTCTTGATTTCAACTTCATTAGCCACCATCCCTGAAGATCAGCTCCTGTTCTGTGGAGCCAAAGACTGTGGCTCTCTTGGTACAGAGGCCAGCAATAGTACCCATCACCCCTCGCAGCAACTGATCTACACACTGCTGGGAATCTTCAATGGTATGTACAAATCCCAACCTCTTATTGTGGCAAAAGGCCTTCTCTTCCAGCCCATAAACAAACTTTGGCCATAGAAACCCCTGCCACACTTGCCTGGCAGAAAAGATGCCATGATCATGAAGGCGGTTTTCCCAGCATAGAGCTTGTCCATTGCACCCTTGATATGTCGACCCCTGTGATTTCCCAAATGTAGGGAACACAGTGTATCATTTGTGGTAGTCCCAGAGTGCATTGGGTGATTGGGGTGATTCTCTGGGGTTCTGAGCATTGCATTCATCGTGAAGTTTCTTGGTTTTCAAGTGCAGTGTCTTAGTTGCATGACACCAGTTCATGCCTTGGAAGGTCTGGGGCCACCTGGGCCTTAGATACACACACCTCTGAGCAGAGGATGTGACTTCTGAGACCAAGACCCTCTGCTCACAGGCTCTCACTACTTCTTGTTAGAGATGGTGTTCTTTAGACCATTCCAAACTTGAAGTCTTTTGCTGCAGAGTAGGCCATGGAGAAGGAGCCGCCTCCCATGAGTGAAGAAGAGACATGTGTTTTCTGCTATTTACTCACAGCCAACATGGGGATGGTTGGAAAGGCAGAGCATGCTTCCCATGCCCAGACACCTTTTCTTTTAAAGGGTGCTTGCAATTTTGTGGCTCATCACTTGAGGCGTTGGGGTTCTTCCACAGTGAGGCACATCCACAAGCCCCTGGTAAGAGCTATCCAGCCTCATCAGCACCTAATAAGTGCCATCAAAATGTTGCACTCAAGTGACACTGGAGGGTGACATATTTAGTCAGGAGGGAAAGTGGTTGAGTTATAGAAAGCTTCCTGGACTTTCCTGAGTGTAAGTGTGTTAAAGAGTCAGGTTTCTACGATGGGTGCTGAGACTGGGTGGACCATTGCTGCAAACATTCTCTAAGAGAGCTGGCTTCATAGAGCCCACAGCTCTGTAAGGCCAGATCACAGTGTCACAGTCAGCATCATATCACCAACAGGACTGAAAGGGAATGGCCACACTCGCTGACTGAATCTCACACCCAGAGTTTGGACAATTCTATCCCTGGGGACACTTCCACCACTTGTCAGAAAGTAGAATACCAGTGTTCAAAAGATGTCACTAAAGGCACCTCACACAACTAGGGGACAGAGGGGCTTCTGTATAAGTCAATGCACATACATAAATATATTTCCTATGCAGGGACATGAAGTGGCTGGAACAGTAATGTAGGCAGATGGCGAAGACAGATTCATTTGCTTGTTGCATTTTGGAATTACAGATTTACAGAATGTTGAGGATGAAATGAATAGTTTTAGGTTCTTTGAAGTTTTTTGTTTTTGTTTTGTTTTTTAATAGATAACCTGTTAACATGGTTCAAAGTACAAATGCAGTAAAAGGTCCCAAGACCCATGGTACCCTCTGTTAACTGTCCCTCAAACATACCCCTCTCCAAGGCCTGTCCCCAGACAGTGTATGTCTGCTGGGACCTTCAGGGTGTTTATTGTACAAACAGATTTCTATATCCCTCTTTGACTGACACATAGTGTTGTGCCTTGCTTTGTTTTCCTCTTGTTATCTGTCTTGGGGGACTTTTGTTTTTATCTTCTTTAAAAACATGCTACTACTCTGTGGGTGATGGCAATGCTGACCTGCTGTGGCCAGCTTTAAATGAAAACTAGTCACAAGCTAATTATAGACCTAACACATACATGGTCAAGTGCAGCTTGCCACTAGTTATATGATGGCTAGCTGTCCGTGAAGATGAAGGTGGAATACATCTGATCCTGGTAGCACTGACACCTGTCTGTGTGTCCTTCTAGGCAGCAGTTTCCTGGCCATCCTACTGTTGTCTGTGTGTCTTGAGTCTGTGGAAAACAGACTGATAAATGAAGGAGAGGCGAGGCCCGTTTCACCATCCATCTGGTCCATTATACTGTCGACCTTCACGCTGTTTAAAGACAAGCGCTTGTGCCTCCTGATACTCCTGCCACTGTACAGTGGGCTCAACCAAGGGTTCCTCTATGGAGAGTACACAAAGGTAAGAGAGAAAGAAGCCCAGGGATCGTGCTGTGTACCTGTGCTCTACTTAAAGGGACCTGAGGGTGAGCTTGAGTGGGATCAGTTTCCTGGTCCTACAGTGGCTGAATCTATGATTTGAGACACCCATCTCTGACTCCCACAGACATTGTCTTCTTATCTTCCTCTTCCCCTCTTCCTCGTCACCATCATACTCCATGGCTGGCATTCAGATTGGCACCAGGTGGCCACCTTGACCTGTGGCGTTTAGGAGCCAGGCCTGACGTCTGCAGTACCACTCAGTTTTAAACAGATTTGAAAAGGAATGTCCAGGATACCTCAGTGATTTGCATGGGTTTTCCTTCCCATCAGACATCGTGTCAATTCCATCCTCAGCCATCTGTGCCAATGTGGCCAGCCTCCTTACCCCCAGCCTTGCATCCAAGTGTCTTTGATTATGTTAGTGCTGAAGGCCAATTGTTAAGCTGTCCAGTGGCCTCCCTAGCCCTCCATGGAGGTTCCGTTTCCCTCACCGGTCCTTAGGCCTAGTGGGAAATGATGAGACAAGTCAATGGCATTGTTAATGCTCTGTAAAACAGTGTATCACACCTATGGCAAAGAATGTATGCAAAGGGGTTTGACCAGATGTCTGTCCATTCTGGCCCAAAGTAGACCCTCTCTCACATACCAGTTTTGCTCTTCTATACACACACCAGTAATGCACACACCAGTAACGCACACACTCTGTGCTTCTTTCTAGTCTTATACTACCTGTGCCCTGGGCATCCACTTTGTGGGGTACGTAATGATCTGCTTCTCGGCCTTCACCTCAATGTGCTCCATGCTGTATGGGAAGATCTCCAAGTATATAGGCAGGGCCGTACTCTATGGCATGGGTAAGTAGACACACTGGTCAGCCCACGCTCAGGGCTCAATGTAAAGGGCACACACAGGGCAGTGAGGGACACGGAAGAGCCCTGTAGGTGACATGCTTTCCTGCCTTCCTGCGGCTCTCCTTGTGCCTGCTGCCGCCTCCTGCCTTCCTCCAATGTGAGGAAGCATAGCTGGCTTTCTTGGACTGCCAGCCCCCAAATTATGACATGGACACTTAATAGTATTAATTATGTATGCTTGGCCTTACCTTAGGCTTGTTTCTAGATGCCTTTTAAAACTTAATTTAACTTGTTTCTATTCATATGTGTTTTGTCTCCAGCTCCGCCCCTTTTAACCTTTCTTTCATTTTGTATGTCTTACTTTTCAGCTTTCTCTGTGTCTGGCTGGCTGACACCCCCGTGCCCCCCAGCTGGCCAGTTCCCCTTTTCTCTTTGTCCAACAGCCCCACCTATCCCTCTTCCACCTAGTTACTGGCTGTTCAGCTTTTTACTAGACCAATCAAGTGACTTAGGCAGGCAAGGTAAATCAGCAACACATCTCTACATAGTTAAACAAATGCAACATAAACAAAGGCAACACATCTTTACATAGTTAAACAGATATTCTATTCCACAACTAGGAAGTACATTCCCTCCCCTTGCTCCACAGAGATCTGCCACAGAAGTCATACCTCAAGGAACAACTCCAGATATCACTGTTCAGGGTTCTCCTGGTCTTCTCTCTTCACCCTCGCCCCCCCCCCCGGGACTGTTTAGAAGCCTAGCTCACACTGTAGGGAGACAACCTCCTGGTCCTCCAGCCACACAACAGGGGCTGGAGTTCCGCATCCCAGAGCCCTGGTAAGACTGTGGGTCCAAATGGTCTACTCTTGTAGTGATATATTATTTATGATTTATTAAAGCTTGCCTGAGGGTTCAGAAAGCAAAGCTAGCCATAAATCATAGACGTCAGGCAGTGGTGATACACACTTTTAATCCCTGCAGCCATACTAACAAGCCACAGAAGCAAGCAGTGGTGATACACACCTTTAATTCCAGGACTCAGGAGACAGGCAGATGGATCTCTCTGAGTTCAAGGCCACTCTGGCCAACATAAGAGTGAAGAGTCACAGAGCACATGCCTTTGATCCCAGCACTAGGGAGGGGGAGACAGGAGTGATATGACTGGGCAGAGAAAGGAATGTAAGGCAGGAGGGGACAGGAACTCAGAGCTTTTGCCTCTGAGGATTTGTGGAGACAGTATTGCCCTTTCAGCTGGGTAGAGATAAGATCTACTGGCTTGGCTGCTTTGCTTTTCTAATCATCAGCTTGAAGCTTGGACCCCAATATCTGTCTCTGGGTTTTTATTATTTGTGTTATACCCACTCTTAGATCATACACTCACACACTTGTGTTTTCTCTGCACCATCCTGTTTCTATGCCCCGCATGAAAACATCAGGAAATCTGGAGGCCCATGGGCCCCGACACAGGCTACCTGAGGCACTTAGCCACCTCAGGCAGAGGGAATAGCCACCCACTGTCCTGTCTTGTTTCCTCTAACCAGGTGCTACCATTCACCTATCTTGCTTTACTACCCTCCTTCTGTGGCGACCGGCCCCAGCCCAGCTGCCTATCTTCTTTATCATCCCTGCCCTGTGGGGAATGTCAGATGCTGTCTGGCAGACACAGAACAACGGTGAGTGGCCAGCCAGGGTATTTGCACTGGATGTGTTGGGAGCTCTTGCTTATACCCTAAGAGTAGCTCAGAGTGCTTCTGGGTGAGAAGGACACAGGATGCTCTGTGGATGACATGGGTGCAGTATAGGTGATGGGATTTACATTGGGTGATGGTTATAGATGACATAATGAGGCCAAGGTCAGAGCCCTCAGCCCCAAGTCTTCCACAAATGCCTAATGGCTGGTTTGTGCCTTATGGACCAGGGAGGGAAAGGCTCTCTATGTCTGGAATCTGGAAGGTCTTGGTGAGCCCAGCCTGAGGGAACCCTGAGATGGATATGATTCATAAGTTACCCCTTTCCCACCACACTCAGGACGCAGTCAGGCTTAGACACTGGCTGAAGAAAATCACAGCAGCTTGAGGCCTGGATTGCCAGGGGTGGGAGACCCAGTCACTCCTTCTGTGTCTGCATGTGACCACAGCATTTTGCTGTAGACGGTAGACCATACCCTCCAGAGCTCTCCTTGCTGTAATCCCAAGGTGCTATGTGTTTACAAGAGCTGGGAAAAAATTCCCCAGAGAAACCCAAGCTAGCCTGGATACAGAGGGTCTAGTTGCCTTTGTGCCTTCATCTAGTTTTCTGTTTTTGACTAAAGTCAGTAACTAGGAACAAACAGCTAGACTTTTCATGGGTTGGGATGTGCTCCTGTTCTTAGGAATATATTGGTTTAGTGTGTGTGTGTGTGTGTGTGTGTGTGTGTGTGTGTGTACACGCACGCGAGTGCATGCGTGGTGAGGCTGGGTAATCAGAAATTCACTTTAACTCTTCTTGGAAGTCCAGGATTATAATTATAAGCCAGTGACATGGCATATCAACTAGGGATCTTAGCTTATACAGCCAGCACCAGAGAGGAATTGCATCAAACCCCACACAGGCCTAAGAGTTCCTGAAACATACACAGAGTCCCGTCCCCTGCATGCTGACAAACTTCTGATCTCACTGAATTTTTCCAAAGCAAAGAAGGCAGCTGGATAGGCAGACTGCTTTATCCCACCCTCCAGACAGCATACAGAGGTTCAAAATGATCACAGTAAAAACAATTTGCTTTCCTTCTCTATGAAATATATGGATAATTACTTTAACTCTCCCTTTCTTTAAATGGACATAAAATTCTCACAAAAGCACCTCTGTTAAGCTGTGCAAATTTCCTAAGACCTGATATACATATTATGAGCACTTAAGTCCAGTAGGTGACTTGAACGATGATTCCTTTGAATAAGGGACACTAATTTAAAGTGAAATAATTTCATTCTTTTTGTACAGGTAAGAGTGTGATTTTTGTTGTTTATTAAAAAAAAAAAACCAGTTTCTTCAAACGTGTGCTTGCAGCCACCTCAGTGAGGAGTGTTGTTTTAATGCTGAGTCTTGCTTCTGGCTCCACCCAGCTTCCCACAGCCCAACATACCCACAAGGCAGCATCCACAGGATTGTCTGTACCTTTCCAACATGGCAAATTGCGTGTAGCTTTGGCCACTTCTCAAGAGCAGTGCTGTGTGGATCTGGGGAGGCGGCATGGTGGGTGAGAACACTTGCTGCATGAATAACCTGATGACCAGAGCTTAGATCCCTAAGGATGGAACCTGTAACCCAAGCACTGTGGGAGGGGAACCGAAGCAGGAGAATTGCTGAGACTTGCTTGGCCCAGTAGTCTAGCAGAGAAACAGGAAGTTCAAGTTCTAGTGAAGACAGGGTCTTTGGGGGGTGAGGGGAATAAGGTGAGGGTAGTAGAGCAGGATGCTCTGTGTCCTCCTCTGGCCTCCGATAGTACACATATGCACACAAAGGACAGACATGGCCGTGTGTTCTCTTCTAGTTCATAGACATGAGTAAGCTCAGCTCCCCGCCACACACACACACACAGTTTGAGTCGCCATTTTCAAACCCTTCAGTTTAGTTGTGCATCACAGGACTCAGTCACTTGCTCCTCTTGCTGGGGCCTGGTACCCTGAGGGCTTCGGGAGCTTCTTCAGTCTCCCAGCAGCGAATCTGTGCCTATCTGCTCATCAGGTCTCACAGTTTCGGGGAGGACGGGTGCAGTTGCTATAGCAACCCTCACATGCCACTGCACTGTGTGGAAAACATGGAATGCTCATCTGAAGATACAGGCTGCCCTGTCAGCTGCAGAAGGGACTATTTTCAAGTTCGCAAGTGCACCGAGTCTGACTTCAGAGTGCCCCGTTTGTTTAACCTGTCTTCCCAACGGATGAAATGCCTGTTTGTTGGTTCTCATCACCTTATCTAAGGACTAGAATCAGTGTCTCAGTCGCCTTAGCCTCAAGTGCCCTGAGTAGATGAGGCAGCTAGGTCAGGCTGATGCTGAGAGCAAAACGAATTTTTTGTAAGTGAGCACATTATTTCATAAGCTGCAGAGATAGTACTAAATCTGCTCAGAGCCAAGGTACAATCCCCCAATTCTATTCATCTTTCATAATCAGGGAAAGTTGGCTGCTATCAGGACATGGGTTTACTGTACCTAACAAAGGGTAGAGGCCCTGGGATTCTACCAGTTTACCATAAGCCTCATTTCCTGCCCTGAGATCCTGTGTTGGGTGCCAGTCAGCACTTGGCATCCATGTCTGTGTAGTTAATGCAGGGATGGTCGCCTGCTTACCATGCCCCCTCACCCATCTATATAGATACTGCTGGTATGGACACCTATTTTCTCATGGGCATTCCCTTCATTTGTCTGTCTAGTTGTTACCAGTGTGGACAAATGGACATCATGTCCCCTCCCTTCTCTTTTGGTCTAGTTATAGCTGATGTGGACACCTCTCCCCCAGGGCTGGTTTGATTAGCAGGCATTCATGAAGGGAAGGGACATTGCTCTGCCCATGTCCCCAAGCCTTCTGAAAAGGCTGTTCGAGCTATGAACCCCAATCCTTAGCTTCTCAGCTATCTGGGACATAGTTTCTGATGGAACTGTGTTGGCAGAGAGGGACAGGGCCACTTCTGATGGTCCAGTTTCCAGATGAATCAGCCTCAGTCTCCACAGTTATCAGGTCTAGAGTTCTGAAACTCCCACCCTGGGGCCTTCCATCAAGAGGGTCTCTATCCTGGGTCCTCCACTCTAGGATCCTCCATGTCGGGGCTTTCTACACAAGGTTGTTCATTCTGAAGACCCCATCCTGTGTTATCCATATCAGGGTCCTCCATCCTGGCCCATAATGCCAAGTCAAGCAGGATTTCTAGGGACAGTGCAGGGGGCTGAGGGTGGTCTTGGTGAAGAGAGAGGTTGTTTAGGTAGGAGTTGGCACAGCAGTCCAGGGTGTAGACAGACCAGGGAGAGTCACTAGGGTCTGTCATCTTTTCATGGATCCCCTCTCAGAGGCACATGCCACTCAGCCATGTCAAGCAATGGGATTCTTGCAGCTCTCACCCAGATCAACCAAATTGCCCCGCCCAGCACGGGAAGCAACAGCGACTCACTTGGTTCAGAAGCAGAGAGAAGCATCCGGCTGTGAAAGTTTTGAGTTTGCTGTAACCAACAAAAATTACCACAGGCTGGGGACTACAACAAACATGGATTCTCTGGCCATTCCCTCTGCCACATTTTTTCCCACTCAGGTCTCAGGAATGCACACATGCAACTTGTACATAGGTGCTATATGTCAATTTAAAACGACAAAAATAACTGAGACTGCTGAAGACATTAAAAAAAATAGAAGTCATGCTGGGCACAGTGGCACATGCCTTTAATCCCAGTACTCAGGAGGCAGATGCAGGCAGATCTCTGTGATTCGAGGTCAGCCTGGTCTACAAAGCAAGTTCCAGGACAGCCAGGGCTACACAGAGAAATCCCGTCTTGAAAAACAAAAACAATATAAAAACAGAAGTCACAGAACTAGTAATAAAAGTTTGGGAACCATCAAGTGGCATTGGCTCCACTTCTAAACACTGGGCAGTGGGCGTCACCTGCTAGGCTAGTACTATCCAACTGTTGGTGACATACCCTTGAAAGGACAGATATGAGTCCCACGAATGTAACTCATTACCCTTTGATCCCAGGGATGAGTGAGGAGCTCGACCTCATCTTACACTGTGAGAGCTAACAAAGCCCCATTTATGCCAGGCATGCATCTTGGTACCCACCAGCCATTTGTCTCTGACTCCAGTCCCTGGAAGATAAGTTGCCAGTAATCCTGATTCAGGGACCTCCCCATCCAGAGATGTGCAGCCATGACTATCTACTTGTTATAAGACTAATTGCTTTTTTGCTTCTGTAACATGCTTATGCAGGCACCTGAAGATTGTTTTGAGTTGCCTTAGCGCCTTCACTTGGCAGAACAGATCAGTGCTTGAGAGCTTGGGTAGATAATTTTGTTGTGCTTTCCCACTTTAAAAATTCTCTCAACTCTCCTCACTGCAGTCTCAACTTTGGTTCGGAGATTGTTTATCCTGCTAGAAGCTAACCAATAAATCTTTCAGTTATGATTGGGTTGCATCTATGGTCTTTTCCCAGGGGTCACAAACTCCATGACAACACACACTGAACTCTTTGCTTTCCTTCATTCATCCTTAGAGGACTGGCCAGCTCCCTCTAGAAGCTACTACTCTGTGACTCCCATGTTCCCTATCCTGTCCTGTGCTGCCCACTGCCAGAGGACATCACCTGACTTGTCAGCATAATTCTGTTTTTTTTTTTGGGGGGGGGTTCTTAGAAGAAAAATATCCAGGTTTTCTTTTCAAGAAAACTGGCAGTGGCAAAGCCTCTCTATGTTTAGGATTAATTTAATGGACCATGTTTGAGGTCTTTGTGTACATCTGTGTGTGTCTATGGGTAGTATATGTGTATGCATGTGTTTTTGTATATGCATGTGGTATCTGTGTTTGCATGTTCATGTATGCATGTGGAGGCCAGAGGTCAACCTTGTCTTAGTCACTCTCCATCTTTTTATTATTTTATTTTTGGTTTTTCGAGACAGGGTTTATCTGTATAGTTTGGGACTCTACCCTGGAGCTTGCCTCTGTAGACCAGGCTGGTCTTGAATTCACAGAGAACTGCCTGCCTCTGCCTCCTGAGTGCTGGGATTAAAGGCATGTGTCACCACCGCCCAGCTCCATCTTATATTTTGAGACAGAGTCTCTTCTTGATTTAGCTGCGTGAACTGGATAGTAAGCCCCAGAAATCCACCCTCTCCTCACTAGGATCATAGGCCAGTGCCTGGCATTTTCTGTAGGTGTTGGGGAGTCTGAGCTCATGCTCTCATGCTCACACGTGCACTTAACCCACCAAGTCCTATTTGATGTCTTACACAGTGTTTTCACTCTAGTCTCTCTTCCACAGCTCTTTACGGTCTCCTGTTTGAGTGGAAAAAAGAAGCTGCTTTTGCAAACTACCGTCTTGGGGAAGCCATGGGGTTCCTCGTCGCCTTTGGGTACAGCTCATTTTTGTGTGTACGCACCAAGCTCTACATTCTCTTCGGCATGTTGAGCTTGACTGTAACAGCTTATGGTACTGTTGAGTACATGGAATTCAGGGCCGCCAGAAAGGTCCCTGCTGTGAAAGAAGAGAAAAGCCAGCCAGAGAAAGAAGAAGTGAAAGCAGAAATGTGAGTCAGGCAAGCAATGGCCCCAGACTCAGCCTGGGTCAGCAGAGGTGTTGTGCGTAGCAATGCCCAGTAGGTAGATGAGATTATTTACAGCCTGTTTCAGCAATATGTGAGCATTCTGAAGGACATCTATTTTTCTATGTATTTTTCTCAATTTAACAAATCTCCAGTCCTGTTTTTCTACTCATAGAAACCAAGAGTCTATGCAAAGGGCTGGGAATACAGCCTAGTGCTAGTGTGCTTGCTTCTCATGCACAAGGCTGCATCGTCAGTTCCCAGTACTACAAAAAGGAAGCAATGACTATTGTACAGGGGCAGAGGAGATGGCTCAGTCAGTACAGAACTTTTGGGCTGAACATGAGGACACCAGTTTGAACCCTTGACACACATGTTAAAAAAAGAAAGGAAGAAAGAAAGAAACAAAGAAAGAAAGAAAGAGCAAAAAAAAATAAAAAGAAAAAGAGAGGGAGAGAAGGGTAATGGCAATGTGCACTTGTAACTCTAGCACTGGAACTCATTGTCTATCCTGGCTTAGCCAGACCCATGAACTCCAGTGAAAATCTTGTCTCAGAAACTAAGGTTAACAGCAGCTGGAGTCACCTAATATCAACCTCTTGCCTACACAGACACACACACACACACACACACCACACACTCACATACACCAAATATACACACACCACATATACACACACAGGCACCAAACACACACACCACAAAGACAGATACACACCAGACAGATACAGACACCACAGACACAGACACACCACACACACACACACACACACACACACACACAACCCACACCCCCACACACACA